AGTGTTTTGCCTGACAAGGAAAACAAAAACCAATAAATCTGTATGCTGGGAAAATGATTCTTTCTGTTGGGAAAATTGGGCATAGGTTCCACGCTATGACCCCTAACCGGGGGCCAGCGGTGCCTTCAAGTTCAACAAATGAAATACATAAAGTATTTTCCACTTGGAACTTGAGGCAAGTATTCTTCTTTCATCACAAAAAAACAACAAACTTTAATACTGTACTATGATATGAGTTAATTTTTGAAAAAATTGGGCATAGGTTCCACGCTATGACCCCTAACCGGGGGCCAGCGGTGCCTTCAAGTTCAACAAATGAAATACATAAAGTATTTTCCACTTGGAACTTGAGGCAAGTATTCTTCTTTCATCACAAAAAACAAAACAAACTTTAATACTGTACTATGAAATAGTATTTAATACTGTACTAATTTTTGAAAAAATTGGGCATAGGTTCCACGCTATGACCCCTAACCGGGGGCCAGCGGTGCCTTCAAGTTCAACAAATGAAACACATAAAGTATTTTCCACTTGGAACTTGAGGCAAGTATTCTTCTTTCATCACAAAAACGACAGCAACTTGATTAAATACTATAATGATAATTTCTACAAAATCAGTCATAGTTTTCACACTATAACTCTTAAATTACACAATCAAAAAAATTTATTTCATTGACAAAAATGCTGTGAACACTAGAAATATTGTGAAAGCTATAGCTAAACATAAATGATACTCTAACACATGAAATGTGCACCATTATACTCTCTATTTATCATAACTTCTTGTATGAAAGTTGTGACCAATTACCACTACAACATTATGTCAACACACCAAAAATAGAAAAAAAGTATAGTTTACCTTGAAATTCTGGATTCATGGTGTAGAAAACCTTTCATTTGCGCCGGCTCAGTGAGCAAGCGGCGCGCTGACAGAGGCCCGAGGCTTGAATTTTCGCGCGCCCCTGTGACGCGCAGCGACGTCAGTAAACAAACGTAAACAAACCGGCCTTGCGTAGCTCGAGAATCCGAGCTCGCGATTCGCGGACGTACATTCGAAGAAGAAACCGATTACATCATCAGAAAGCCCTGTTTTCTGCGATCATTTTGACATCGGTGACAAATATAAAGGCCAAAGATTGTGCGCTGATTTTTCAAAATGAGAATTTCCAAAATTTTTAATCACCATTTTTGGCCCCGAATTCTGTTACTATATACTTGTCACTAGTATCATTTTAAAGCTCGTAATCTGCTCTTGAATATGGTGCTAGCTTTACTCTACTGGCGCCAAGGACGGCGAGGCGCAAGCGCCGTGAGATCGGGGTTTCCCCCCGGCGAAGGAGGCAATATGGCGCCCGCGCTCGGCGAGACGCACGTCCGGCTAACTCGGAGCCGTTTTTATCGGCAAATTTCTGGAGTTTTCGGGATCGTAGGAACCCAGGACATGCAACACTGGATAAACAAGTTTATTTGCTTCATTTTGATGTATAACATGCCTATTTTAATGGATTTATTTTGGCGCTACGAAGTTGTAAATATGGTAACAAATTCTCCGACCGCCATGCGGTAGGACGTTTTCACGGTAGCGTTGGAATACCTATTAGTAATGTGGTAACAGAACATAACCTTTCACTTTTCCACTATTTCATACAGGTGTCAAGAGTCAACATGCAGCTGAATGGATATTGTCTTCAAAAATCAAAGGAAATGCAGAGCCCATCAGGACAACTTCTTAACTGGACCAGACAATGCAACCTAAGATAAGGGTGCTGTACAACCAGTACTGTCCCAGAGGAATGCTTTTTGGCCATATATTGGCTCAATGTATAAAGGCATATCAGCCGTATACCTTTAGTGTTGGTCATATATTCACACAGAAACATAACAGCTATATTCAAACAGCGAGTACTGCTTGTTCAAGGTACACTGACTCAGATGCATCACCTCATTAAAATGGTTGTTAATCCCAGTCACAATGCATGATACAAGTACTTTATAGTGTATTTACCTATTACAACTTTAATTACTCCTAGTACCTAGATCCTATAGCTAGAAACAGTTAAGAAATAGGACTATTAATGTCTACTTATATTTAGACAATGGGGTGTCTGAGTCCGAGTCGGATTCCATCACAATTCTCTTCCTCCGCTTTCCTTTTCCCAGCTTCGGAATGTTCTTCTTCCCCCTCTTCTTCCCTTTCCCTTTATCCCTCCCTCTCCTTGTCCCCTTGCCATTTGTTGTTGCAGCCCCCTCCAATCCTGGCTGGTTTGGAGGGTCGATGGTGACCTCCCTGCTCTGCTGTCCTGCTGCCTGCAGCCCCTCGACAACTCCCGTCAAGAGCGATTCAACTGTTCAGAGGACACAACAAAGACATGCTTACAAATGATGTTCACTGACTTATGACATTTGATTTTTTAATCTGTTATACAGCACCTTTGATGATACAAATTACCTGATCATACAATACCAGGTGTTTGGCCACATGCTAATATCCTCATTATATCTTCATTAACTGAAGTAGATAAACAAATTACCAGTATCGTCATCATGCCTGCCACCAGGTGTAGAGCTGTCATTTTCTTGGTCATGTCCTGTGTAAGTAGAGAATTTCAGTCAATTTGACATGCTTGTACCCAAAATGAAAAGAAGGATAGTTACACATTCACTACATTAAGCATTTTTGGTCATCTAAACATGATAGAGAGTCAGTGTCAGTGTAATGCAGGTCATAATGGCACCAAACACACACACATATAATCAAACATGCCACACCACTGGTGTGGCATGGCCCAGAAAGGTGCACTTTCACTGAGAGAATGAATTCTATCTAATGAAAGTTCAATGTAGACCATACCTGCTGATCTGTCTTCCTGGGCCTCGACAACTATGAAAGAAAAAAGTGCACTGTTAGTTGAAACAATCATGATTTCCAGTAACATACTGATGCCTTGTACACCTGTGGAGCAAAAACATTTCAAAAACTGCTGAATAAAATTTTGTGGATAAATCTTCATCATATTTGATACGCACACACTGGTTGTTACCAAGGTTGATCATCATTGCAGGATTTCTAGTGACTTTCTACAGTACTGTAATGGCATGTCTGGCATTGTGATGACTATTTTTGTGTTATAAAGATGTTAGGATAACTCACCTCGTACAGTTAAATTATCTTGATGTTGGAGAATTGCCTTCAACTTGCTGTGCCCTAACTCAGAGGGATTTCTGAGGGTTACGCCCTCAGGCAGACCCTCCACTGCCACCTGTCCCTTCCTCAACAGTTCATAGGAGAACTGCTTTCCTCCAGTAGCAGCGCCTAAAAAAAAACAGCAATCTTTACTGTACCAGTAGATTTATCATCTATGCATTGACCAAGTATGATGTATAATAAACTACAGCTGTTGATACATTCTAAACCTTTTTGCAGCACCCCAGATTATCAAGTTAAAACTGGCATTCAACTTTGTCATGAACTATTTGTAACTTCCAGCTCATATAGACTACATGTCATTTTGCTTTTAAATGATGCTTGACGTATAACACAACCTATACTTGAGTAGTAATTCTCCCCTCCCCCAGAGTTAGAGATCAGCACACAGATGTAGACATGATAACCACATAATGATGACGACAACTTACACCACTTCCTGTTCAAGACATCCCTGAGCTGCTTTCGTAGGTGACTGGTCTCTTCCTTCCTTGGGATGTCTGAAAAACGGTAAAAAAAACACACTGTTTACTAGTATATGAAATGCATTGAATTTCATGGTAAATCTTTATCTATCCTGATGGTGAAAACACAATCGGCTTTCCCTTATCAATTACAAATGTCAGTTCTTGGATCTTAAATAAAGTCACATTTTAAAGAGACAAGAACGAAATGCTCAGGACAATAAATCTGAAATATGGTGTCATTTGAGTGAGATGTGATCATTCTTTATTTTGTTCCCTGTACATATTGCCCTCCCTACAAGATTTTATTTATTCAGTCATTGGATCCTGGTTTGGTTGATATATACATACAGGCATTGCTGCCCATCCAGCTGTTAGCTTTTATAAAGGGTTAAACTTGGGATGGAGAACAATAAAGACAATAATAATCAATATATCTCAGATGGTTTGGTATGATTTTACATATCCACATAAGTCAGCTGACATAAGTTATGTTAAAACATTTTCGCTGAGGGTTGTAATGACTTTGTTAAGCTGTTATGTTAATAATACTTACTGTTATTAGACTCGGGCATCATGGCGGTCGCAAAACCATCAATGAAATGCTGTGCTGCTTTATTTTGTAGGAAGGATTCAGCCTTTGTAGTTCCACAGCACTTGATGTCCTTTGCAACCTTGTCGTAAAACACCACAAACCCTTCCCACCCACAGGTGTGCATGTCAGAAATCTAACAGGAAAAACAGGATTATAAATGAATATTAGTATACCCATTGAACATTTCTAACTTACACACAAGTGTAGGAACAATTCTATATACTCTGAACATATACAAAACATTCGATGTTGCTACTGCTTTGTTTAACCATAAGCGGTTTATTATCAACCTTCATCACTCCTTACATGTATTCTATTACACATCCAGTGCAATAAATCTTGGTACATGTATGTATATGGGGTAAATCTGGTCAACAAACTGGTCATCTCTAGTAATGTCTCTAGTTTGACTCCTCAGGACTTAACTTACAGTTTCAGCCAGACCCTTGTACTGCTTGTGGGCATGTTGTTGCCTCTCCCTTTCATCCAGGTCTTTAATTGTTGTTTTAGCAGCCTGCCTTGCCTCTTCCTGGAACTTCCTGTACAGCTGAGGCTCCTCCTCCTTGATCCTCTTATACTCCTGACTGGCTGCCTTGAAGTCAGCCTTCCCGCTTTTTCCTGTGGTGTCAGTCACAAGTTAAAGTAATTCAAATTATGGGTACTCTGTTCATGTAAATTAGTAGTGACTTGCATCTCCTAAATATGAAAATGCTGGTAATGCCATAACGTTACAGGGCTATGTAAATTAATATTCATTTGCAAACTCATGCCTGAAGGTTACTTGCATGTACAATATAAAAGAAAGTAATGGTAAAGCAATAGGAAACAAACAGCTACTGTCTGAGGCTGTTCAACTTACTACTATGTATTACTACACTTGCTATTATGAGGTTTGATATGATGTATTATCAATGTGTAGATGTAATATTGCATGTCCAGAGTGTGTGTGTGTAGCCTATCAATTTATTAACCTTACCTGCCAGGTGATGCTTCAGGAAACACCTGTAGGGGTCACATGCTCTCTTTGAAACTTTTTGTTTCTTACTGGATGGCTCATCTCCTCCTTCTTCTCTTCTTTTCTGCTTCCTCAGTTTCTTTGTCCAGTTGCGGATCCAGTTCTGTATGTATTGTGTAATAGTGGGGATTTTAGCTACATTGTACTCCTGACAATTATTAAGCATGTGCATTATGATGTCACCTGTACTACAATCGCATACATTGTCTGATAAAAAAAGAGATACACTTCCTAATCATAAACTGATACAAACTATGTAACTCCAACTAAGTGATACACATCTCTAATGCATGTAGACAAACTTTCAATCAAAAAACATACCAACATTCTGGTCTTACATTTCCATCATTGCCAAAAAAGTGATAAGTAAGTGATATGTCAGATCAATAAGATTATACTATAATGATTTATAGTACTGTTACAGTAACATCTAAGCTTAGAAGTAGTGTTTACACTATCAAATTTTCTTTGTTGTGAACAAGGTCAGGTTTAATTTCCATTGCCTCACAGTAAATAGCACAGGGAGACATGTTGTACATTGAATGAAAGATCTTCATTCAATAAAATTCAACTATGATTTAATGTCAATCTCACCTCGATTGTATCCTTGGGGGCTTTAATCTTCAGAGCTAACTCCTCGATCAGTCTCTTACTTTCTGCACCCCGTTGGTTTTGCATCCCTCTCTCATGATAGTACTGGATAAGTGTTTCCTTATGAGGCTCCAGGTCAAACCTAACTCTGTAAAGACAAACCAAAGACACTGTGTCCACAACAAAGCCGAACAGTTGACAAACATGGTTTCAGTATTCTATATGTAACAGATAAGTGTAACATACAAAGGCATAGAGGAGCATACTTGTGAACTAGAGCGTTAGGTTCAGATGTAGCCTCTATGGCGGGTACTTAATAAGGCCATGTTGATTTGATTATATGGATGACATCCTCTGGGAACCCCAAAACTGATCAATGCGAGCATGCGAATGAAAAAAGTTGCTTTCATAATGAAATCTATGTGGTTATCAGGGTTATGAAGGTTGAACAAATGACACCGAGTATATGGTACAGGAAATAATCTACTCTTCAAATTCAGTTCTATACATTTTTGTCTTTTTTGTTTGATCGTATCATTGTCCAATATTGTTTTTGTAACTTGGTATTTTTTTCTCATTTTGCAACTGATTTACAGTATGGTTGAAAACATTTTTTTGGAAACGGTCAAAAATTTATGCGCATGGATGTCATCCATATGATCAAATCAACATGGCCTAAGTGGAAAGACCTATCCGAATGTGGATGAAGACAAGTTGAGACAACTGAGACATTATCTCAGTTGTAGCCAACTGTCAATGAGGGATTGTTATTCAGACAAGACCAATCACAACTCAAGGCACTGAAACTGTTTTAAGTGTTTGATGAAATGCATATTACTAGTATCAAGCATTGCCCAAATAGATTCATTTCTTATATCAGGAGTTCACACCACCTGTTATTCGTAAGAAAATTCAAACTCTACTACTGGATCAGTTAACGGATTTATTTCCGGACGTTTCGAGTGACATCCATCACTCTTCTTCAGCGTCACAAATGAACAGAGAACCGATTCACTCTTATGTACAAGTAACTAGAAAAACCGGTTAAACAACAAGGTCCGTAAGAAGCTTTATCATGTAAAAGAACGGTTCACTCAATGTACAGGAATTAGAACTAGAAAAAACCTGTTCAACAACCGTAAGAGTCTTTGTCATGTAAGGAAGGTTCCTATGGTAAGAAATTACCATAGGAAAAGTTACTGTCCCTTGGGCTGTGGCAGGGCGGGATCCCATGTGCTTGAGAGTTCAATGCGCAGTCCCCCCTTCCTGTTCAGGGTGGGGTTGTAGATGCGCTCATAGATGGCCTCCTTCACTCCGCGCTCGTACCAACGTGGTTCACGGTCGAGGATGTCGGTTGCCTCTAGCTTGAAGGAGTGTCCCTGGTTGTGTTTGGTGTCATCAAGTCAGAGGTGATCTACAGACTCAAATGCGAGGAACCTAACTGCAATGACACCTACATCGGGGAAACCAGCCAACCTCTGAAGGAGAGATACAAACAACACTGCAGGGCTACAGCAAGCGGCTACTCTTCTGCTATCTACCATCACACCAAACACAACCAGGGACACTCCTTCAAGCTAGAGGCAACCGACATCCTCGACCGTGAACCACGTTGGTACGAGCGCGGAGTGAAGGAGGCCATCTATGAGCGCATCTACAACCCCACCCTGAACAGGAAGGGGGGACTGCGCATTGAACTCTCAAGCACATGGGATCCCGCCCTGCCACAGCCCAAGGGACAGTAACTTTTCCTATGGTAATTTCTTACCATAGGAACCTTCCTTACATGACAAAGACTCTTACGGTTGTTGAACAGGTTTTTCTAGTTCTAATTCCTGTACATTGAGTGAACCGTTCTTTTACATGATAAAGCTTCTTACGGACCTTGTTGTTTAACCGGTTTTTCTAGTTACTTGTACATAAGAGTGAATCGGTTCTCTGTTCATTTGTGACGCTGAAGAAGAGTGATGGATGTCACTCGAAACGTCCGGAAATAAATCCGTTAACTGATCCAGTAGTAGAGTTTGAATTTTCTTACGAGTATCGTTTACCTGGATGTCTAACCTTCATCAACGCACCTGTTATTATAATCTAGATGGTTAAGCCTGGAAAAGAGCCTTGTCACTTTATCGTGACTTCCATATGACATCAAATGCTAAATGATATGCCTTAAAATGATGGAACATTAACAACCAAATGTGGTGTCATAAATCACCATTTTTTTTACTTCACCTTGCCCACAGGGAAGGTCTGAAAACCAATCCCTCATTGACAATGTCACTTTGATATGAATTGCTAAGTATTATTTATCTTATTTTCCTTCCTCCCGACCATTTATCTTGTTTACGTTGAAATTGGTCATCCCATGGAAGAATATAAACCACACACCCCGGTGAATAATAGTACGCCTCAGTTTGTACCAATGGGCCTTCGTACTACTATGGCTACTTATACAAGTTTCAAAGATGCCGCGAGGGGGGGGGGGTTTCGCGGGATAAGGTTCTACCAAGGTTCAACCTCCTTGGTTCTACTTATGCCGTTAAAAAGGAAGTTACTTTTGCCGCAGAGGGTGAATCCAGGAAGCTAATAGGGCTCTTCGGAGTTTGGAGTCAATCTTAGCTTGTGTGAAAATCGAGCATATATAACCGCCCCCCTCCAAAAGATATGAATGATAAACTCCGCCGCTCCGAAAAATCTGTAAGTTTATGGATTTTTTTGCCTTCAACACAAAGCAAGTTGTGACCGATCAACTTCATATACTGATTCCGATAAAGATTTTCTTTAAATCAAACTAGGTTTGGCCGCCATAGTCAGGCGTTATGTTAGTTACAACTTACTCGCTGGTTGGGTACCTTTTTTTGTAAATAACAGTATGAAAACCTCTTTGTTGGCATTGATACGGACACGTAAACGGTCTACGCCACTGAGGAATTTAACTACTAACCTGGATGGGCCGGCAACTGCAGCTGAATCGACTTCCTGGCCGTCTGACTCGCTAGTATGTTCAGGTTCTGCCATGATCGCCACACAGTCACGCCGGACGTATCCGACACGTGTTCTCCACTCGCCTGCCCTAAAACGTCACTACTATTCTGCGAAACTCACGGGTATTAAAGAAAAGCTGAGTCGGACTTGAATAGTTTTGGTCAAAAGTCCGGGAAACAAATCTCCTGAGTCAAAAACGCTGTATTAATAAACAACTTGCAGAAAGGCCTGACAAAACTATTCTCGACCGTCACCTCTTCACGGTGTCACGGGGCTAACTGATCCACAGATGTCGTTGTTACTAGGGGCTGCCCCCTATGTTTAGATTTTTTTGTAGGAAATGAGTGTCATTCACGACCGTCTGT